AAATCTACATTCAAACAGTTAACCCTTATGGAAGAATGAGCCAATCCAGAGATTTTAGGAAATACGCAATCACCCACGAACACCCAAAAGTCCAACAAATACACTCACGAAAAGCCACCAGTGTTTACGAACACTCAACGTAGTCCAACGAAATTATCTGCTGGCCACCTCAGTAGGAAAAATTCCTGGGTTTGCAAATGTGCAAATATAGCCTGAATCAGGGTAAGAGTAGTTTATGGATCTGTGTCATGTCAAACTGGAATGACCAACAGACAACTTTCTCTTACTATTTTGGGTGTTCGTAAACACTGGTGGCTGTTTGTGGGTGTATTTGTTGGACTTTTGGGTGTTCGTGGGTGATTGCGTATTTTCTAAAATCTCTGGATTGGCTCATTCTTCCATATGAGTTAACTGTTTGAGTGCAGATTTAGCTTTGGTTGGGTGTTCGTGAGTGTTCATGGCTGTTCGTGGAGGTATATGATGGACTTTTGGGTGTTTGTGGATGTTCGAGGTGTTCGCGTCTTTTACAAATACCCTCATTTGAGCGATCAATTTTTAAGTTAATCCTACAGAGTTTTGCTTTTTTTTAAACAACAATTGCATAATTAAAATATGCTGGACTGTGTAAATTGTAGAGCTTTTGACGCTGCATTTTGTGGTATATTTTGTTTTTTTGTAAATAAAATTTATTAGGTGATAACAAGGGTGAAGAAAAGACGAATCTTTCGTTCGTGTAGAAAAAACCATTTTTCAACGACGATGACCATCGATCGCACAGAATTTTGCTTCTTTATGAAACCAAAAACTATATAATTAAAATACACTTTCTGATGTACATTGTAGAGCTTTTCATGCTGCGTCTTGTTGTCCCCCATGGACAAAAAAACGACATTTTTGCATTTTATTTTTTTACCACATAATAAACTGTATTAAAAAAATAAATATACCACAAGATGCAGCGTGAAAAGAACTACAATCTACAAAAGAGAGCTTGTTTTATAGTTGCACTTTTTTGTTTTCAAAATGGATAAAATTCGAAGGCACTAGTTTTTGACTTTTCGAAAAAAAAAGTTTTTGGTATCATTAGCCGCACAGAATTTTGTCCATTTTGAAAACGAAAACTGTACTTGTAAAATAAGCTGTTCGTTGTAAATTGTAGAGCCTTTCACGTTGCATCTTGTGGTGTATTTTGTTTCTTTAATAAAGCATATCAGGTGACGAAAAGATGGAAAAAACGAATTGGTCAAGTACCAAAAGCTTCTTTTTTTCGAAAGTCAAAAACTAGTGCCTTGGAATTTTGTCCATTTTGAAAGCAAAAGTGTAACTATAAAATAAGCTCTCTTTTGTAGATTGTAGTTCTTTTCACGCTACATCTTGCGGTATATTTTGTTTTTTTAATACAGTGTATTATGTGGTAAAAAAATAAAATGCAAAAATGTCTTTTTTTTGTTCATAGGGGAGTATATTTTGTTTTATTAATACAACGTATCAAGTGGCGAAAAAATAAAATGTAAAGGCGGTCCATTTACATGTATTATGCGCTAACCATTATTTTTGCGACATTAAGAAAAATAAGATTTCAAGAATGTTAACCAATACAAATCCCTTATTTGTCAGGATAGAGAGCTGAAAATTTAGGATGATATTCGCCACATTACAAGGAATAAGAAAGCAAAGTTTGAGCGTTTTGGAGTTTACTATAAGGGAGAACGAACAATTTTTCTGCGGGGCACCAAAACTTTTGGATCACCCTTTATATTCGTAGATCCTCAAAGACTATCCTATGGGGGGTATCCTTAGATCCTCAGAGCTACTCTGTAGGGAATTCATAGGTTCTCAAGAACTATCCTATCGATTACTATTAGGTCCTTCAGAGCTACTCCATGGAGGTACTCAATAACCAATAGGTACCCTCATATAACAGCATCTGAGGAGCTATGGGTACCCCATAGGACCTCTATAGCATGACTCTGGAGAGCCTATGAGTACCCCATAGGATAGCCCTTAAGAACCTATGTGCACCACATATAGTAGCTCCTGAGGATCTAAGGATACCCCCAGAAGATAGCCTTTGAGGATCTCTGAATATCGCTATATAATAGGGTTTGAGAGCGTAAAGGTACCTTGCATAATAGCCGTTAAGGACCTATGGGTACCCTCATATAATAACCTTTGAGGACCTATGAGTAACCCTATATAGTAGAGCTTGGGAAACTAAGGGTACCTCCAAAAATATAGCACTTGAAGACCTATGGGTACCCCTATATGATAGAACTTGATGACCTGAGAGTACCTCCGAAATATAGCATTTGAAGACCTATGAGTACCCCTATATAATCGGACTTGAGGACCTAAGGGTACTTCCATAATATAGGACTTGAGGACCTAAGGATACCTTCAAAATGTACCACTTGAGGACCTAAGAGTACCCCCATAATATAGGACTTGAGGACCTAAGGGTACCTCCAAGATATAGAACCTGAGGACCTTTGGAGACCCCCATAATATAGGCCTTGGGGATCTATAGGTACCCCTATATAACAGGACTTGAGGACCTAACGGCACAGTCAGCGGAACAATCGTATCGACGATACCTACGATACAGTAGCGATCTGACAATCCGGACAATACTATGTCGATACCTACGATACCGTTGGGAACCAACAATCCTGCGATTCCGGGATCCGACAATCCGCTTTTTCCCCATTGGAGGCCACACACCACATAGTACCGACACTTTTCGGTTTCTCGTCTATGTCCCTTTTGTCTAAAACACGAAAATACTCAGTTTTCTAATCTCAACTTGCTCATCATAAAAATCGTATTTGTAACTATATGTATATTTGCAAACTCTATTTGCTAGCTGAAAAAATGGGCAACAGCCAACATAATATCAATCGGAAAACCGAAGAGCAAAATATCCTCCAAAATCCTCATGAAGGTGAAGCAAGCCAGTTTTATTGGGCTTGTCGAAATGGCGATGTGGAACATGTTAAAGAACTTTTAAACACAATTCCGTATCAAGATCTTAACCGTTTGGAACCAAATGGAAGTACTCCACTACACGCAGCTTCCTACAACGGTCACAGTATAATTGTAGGTCTACTTTTACGTGAACGTGGCTGTCAACGTGATCGTGTAAATCGGCACGGACTAACTGCATATGAAGAGGCACAAACAGAAGAAATACGTCAATTATTTTATCGTCCATCGGAAAGAAATCGATTTTGTGAGGAAGACGACGATGACAGTAATGATAGCATTGGCAATAGGTTCACGGTAAATGTAAAAAAAGAAGAGAAAGAAGACGACGGAAAGCCGGATGATTTCGCTTATGATCAATGGCTTGTGGGCTATGAAACATCAGAAGAAATTGAATGGGTTAAAGCTGATTTTGCAGCTGGTAAAGCTATTTGTCAAAAATTTATCCCATATTTGTCGGACAAACAATGTGGAAGTCTAACCCATATACTTCAACAAAACTTTTCTGAAGAACTCGATAAACTTATTTGTGAACATATTCCAAAAACACATCGTGAATTTGAAAAATGTAAAATGTTAATTCAAAAAGCTTTCGATAAACAACAATTGCAACCGGAATATTTACTTCGGCTATATACTCTAGAAACTCCAGTATATGGTGCATTGAGTAAAGACGCTGGCCCACTCTTTCATCCCCTTCTATTTGCATTGAATCAATTAAAACCGAGACACTTTCAAGGCACTTCATATCGTGGAGTAAAAATGGTCGAAGAAGATTTACATGCTTATCGGTGGGCCATGAAAAGTCGTGGTGCTATTGAAACACGAACATTTTGTTCCACTTCGCTGGATCGATCTGTAGCCGCACGATTTGCTGGAATCAATAGACCCATCAATAATGAGCGGCGAAGTGTTCTGATGGCATTTAACTTTCCTCAACCGTGTGATACAGCATTTAATTTAGGAAAAATTTCAGCTGAATTGTCGTGTGTTTCGGAATATGAAAATGAAGCTGAAGTTTTGATGCTTCCTTCGACATTGTTTATTGTAAGACAGATTGAAACTGCTGCAAATTATGTAACAATTCAATTGGAAAATATTGAGACTAAACCAAAATCTCGTTCTGCATATTTTAAAGCCTTCTTTAAGAATATGAAACGAAATGCATCTATTACTATCGGTTCAAAAACATATTACGCAAAAGAACATCCAAGTTTACTACGTTAGCAGACAGCTAGCTAAACAATTTCCAGGGTTGATATATTATCGATTCAAAGACTGCTGAAAATGCTTTGTTCTGTCTTCATATGGAAAAATGTCTTTTTTTTTCTTTATCACTCTCGCTAATAAAGCTACACACCTTCGGTTTATTACTTAATAACATTCGTTCAAAGTTTTGGATTCGGTCTAACGAGGGAACAGTTTCAGACATCCCCTTTCAATTTCTTTCGTTCATGTTTCAATCGATAGACTATGTTGAGATATGAAAAAGCTTAAGAAGATTAGTCTCCACAGTGCCTACGTGAAAGTTATAGCCGATTTGTGTCATTTTACAGCCAGAACTGTGGTTAATTGAGAAATTCATATCTCCGATGAATAAAAACGTACAATGGTGAAACTTTTACACAAAATTTAGTGATGCATCATTGGTATATACGCTACAAATTTTAGTTCGCTATAACATCAAGTTTTGGAGTTATGGAGAAAACTAGGTATCCATAAACTTTTCTTCGGCATTTTCACAATATGTACTTTATAACTGTGCCAAATTCCAATTAAATCTTTTCAAAGGACCCTGTCGGATTTAGTGACCATCTCTGAATCGAATAACCAAATATACTGTCTTGTAGAGCTGAGAAAGGCACATCAAATGGTATAGAGAAAGTTATGTTTTTGTCGAATTTTGGATAAGCTACAGCGAATTTACTATTAGTCGAGTATTATCCCAAATTGGGATTAGTGACTCATCAATATGGTCCTTAGTATCGATTGAAGAAGTCTATAGAGAAATTTTTTCTATATACAGTTTTGTAGAGGGTAGGCGTGGATGTGGGTGTGGGTGTAGGTGTGGGGGTGTGGGTGTGGGTGTGGGTGTGTGTTTGGCTTTGGTTGTTGGTGATATAATGAAAAACCACACCCACACCTACATCCACACCCACACCCACACCCACACCCACCCCCACACCCACACCCACACCCCACACCCACACCCACACCAAATCTGAATCCAAGTGAGGATACACACGAGGATGGTATCCAAGGCAACTGTCAAAAGTGACTTCCCAGTCACTGTGAGGATCAGAAATGATCCCGATAATGAGACTTCATCCAAATATCGATTTTTGAGGAGGAATATGTGTATGGACAAGAAATGCTTCCAAAACTGGCAGTAAAAACCAATATCTTCTGTCATAGGCAGAAGGGACCGTTGAACTCGGCTTTAACAGGATCGACGATATAAAGCAGTGTAATATTGCTTGTGAAGCCTGTATATTTTACCTATCCTGTGCAACGATAGGAAGAAAAATAAAAATAAAGCCGTGATAGTATGCACATTTTTCCAACCATCGATTAACTTTATCTCTCTTCATTATTCAAGCTGTCTGATCGATAAGTGAAAGAACAAGCAAAAGAATAATAACATTTTTGTGGGGCAAAAATCCAGTTTGCCTCAGTAATATATGATCATGCTTTATCTCACGTATACGGTTGATTGCACGCAAGCCAAATATTTTTTCGATATGTACAAAAGCAATATAATGCTTCCATTTTCCTTATTAAATAATATCGATACATTACCAACGTGCTACATTCTTCATTACAATCTACATCGCATTAATACAAGGGGTAGACGTAAGTCTTTTAATATTGCAGTATCTCTCGTAAACCGTTTTAGTTTATCAGTGTTCAGAAGAGTTTTCTGTTCTTAAGTGATACCAGTAATTAATGCCCATTCCATAAAACAAGACGATGGATATTTTTTGAATAACTCTTAAGAGGTACAAGATACAAAGCTGCAATTTTCACCATTGGAAAGAAGCACACTCAGCGCTTCTATTCATATAAAGTTGTTGAGATTCATTTCATTAATAACTAGTGATCCATGATGCTCTTGAAAGAGTAGCCTATTCCTCTGTGAAGACAGGAATATTTTCAAACATTGACGAGTGGGCTAGAACTTCCAATTGAAGCTCTACAAATCTACGAAAGGTCTTGAGATCCTTAGGTCCCTTGAGTTCCTTGGGATCCTCGAGATACTTGGGATCCTTGAGTTCCTTGGAATCTTTGGGATCCTTGAGTTGCTTGAGTTAGTTGGGATCTTTTGGGATCCTTGAATTGCTTGAGATCCTCGGATTCCTTGGGATCCTTGACTTTCTTGGGACCCTCGGGTTCCTTGGGATCTTTGAATTCTTTGAGATCGTTAACATCTTTGGGTTCCTTGAGATCCTTGGGATCCTTGAATTCCTTGAAATCGTTGGGATCCTTGAGATCCTTGGGACCCTTGAGTTCCTTGGGTCCCTTGGAATCCTTGAGTTGCTTGAGATCGTCGGTTTCCTTGAGATTCTTGGGGCCCTCGAGATCCTCGGGACACTCGAGTCCCGTGAGATCCTCCGGTTCCTTGGGATCCTTGGGTTCCTTGGGATCCTTGACGTCCTTAGGTTCCTTGAGATGCTTGAGATCCTTGGGATCTTTGAGATTCTCGGGTTCCTTGGAATCCTTCAGGTCCTTGTGATCCTTGGGTTCCTTGAGATCCTTGAGATCCTGGAGTTCCTTGAACTCATTGGGTTCCTTGAAAGACGAGTTCCTCGAGATCTTAGAGATTCTTGAGATCCTTGGGTTCCTTGAATACCTTGGGATCGTTGGGACCCTGAGATCCTTGGGATCCTTGAGTTCCTTGGGATCCTTGAGTTCCTTTGGATCCTTGAATTCCTTTGGTTCCTTGGGATCCTTGAGTTTCTTGAGATCCTTGATTTGCTTGTGATCCTTGAGATCCTTGAATTTGTTTACGCCACCTTTTGCTGTAGTTTCTTAGTGCCCGTACATGTTGTATAATTTTTGAGTTCAAGAATTCCTCAAGAGTTCGGAATTCACGAAATTCTGACACTACTGGAGTAACATATAGAAGAGATATCGTACAATCGCTAGCAATAGTATCTTGATAGAAAAAGAGTTGTTCTACAGTAAAAAAAAGCTTCGTCAATTGATCGGGCATTATTGGAGAGATCGGTAATGATAATTCGAAAAATGTTATGCATAAAGTAAAATTTACAAAAACTCGAGCAAATATCGTTAGTATTCGGCTCATAATCTTTGAGCAAATCATGATAAAGATTTCTGCCTTCCGTAGATTTCTAGAGCTTCAGTTGAAAGTTCTAATCCACTCCTCAATGTTTGAGAATGATCCTATCTTCACAGAGGAACAGGCTACTCTTTCAAGAGCACTATTGATCACTAGTTATTAATGAAATGAATCTCAACAACTTTATATGAATAGAAGCGCTGAGTGTGCTTCTTTCCAATGGTGAAAATTGCAGCTTTGTATCTTGTACCTCTTAAGAGTTATTCAAAAAATATTCAGCCGTCTTCTTTTTTTTGGAATGGACATTAGTATAGTTTATGTGGGCTTTAGATTGTGTTGGAACATATAAAAAGAAGAAAATGAAAGTGAATATTGGCAAATTTTACCAATTTTATGAAAATAGTGATGAAGTTAGTGACTTTTTTCTCATTTACATAGACGGTTTGAGGCTATTCTTGAATTTAATGAAAATGATAGCAATTAATATGCTACTTAAATCGGTCCTGATTATTCGATAGTTATAAGGAAACCTTTGTGATTTGTATCCGTGCTCTCTATGATTCGGACAGACACCGGAGCTATTTGTTGTGCATAGGTAGTTATTAGGATGCCTTGAAAAATTGCGAAGATAAACAGATTAGGAACACTTCAACAATACTCTTCACAACTCTAAACGATTGAAGTGATTCACGCCTTGAAGCCTTACATCTTTGTTATAAAAATATCATTCTGATTCGATGAAGAGGTGTCTCCCATATCAAACCTTCGTATCTCGATAGTTTTTAAAGGCATAATAACAGGCATCTATGTTCAAAGGAGGACAACGTGTCTTTTCAAGGAACATAGAAAAATGAATAAAGATTGGCTAGATATTCTAAGAAGTTTCCAATAGAACTGATTTTGAAAGCTTATTTCTACCACTTCTTTCATATGGTTATATTTATGCTCTGAGGAAATCTATCCACAAATGGAACAGAGTCTTAAACTAGGATATACCAATAAATTGTTGTTCATTATAATTATTATTATTACTATAAAAACCCAATTTTTTCACCTTGTATATGCTTGGAGGACAAGTTTAAAAGCTATATTTTTTTTTGAGAATGCTGCACTAATATTTCCTTAATGAGAAATTTCAATAAAACTCTGATTTTCCGGTTACAGTAGGAAATTGAAGAAGCCAGAAATAGCTCACAATGACGCTTTGGTTTAGAAATTGTCATTGAGAATTCTCGTGCTACAGGTCTAATAGTTTTTCAAATTAAGTCGAATTTGAGATTATGTGAAGCACATAAAAAAGAATGGCGTTATGGAGAAATAGAATGAAACATAACAGTGGCTAGCCGTGAGAAGTGTCTCGAAAGATTCCCGACAAACAAGTAGCCGATGCACTAAAAGGTCCCTTAAAGACACGCTTCAGGCTGTTTGTATTCATCAAACAAACATCAACAGTCTAGACCTAATAAGTTTGAATTAGGAGTAGCAGCTGGTGTTAACTGAGAAATATTTGGAAGTAAAGTGTGAGAGCGCTTTTTCTGCACGTGCAGAATGTTTTAATACTACATTTGGCGGAAAACGTCAGTCAGAGTTTTTTATGCATGGTATCAGAAGTAGATATAAATGAAGTAAACGGGAGTTTTTCTGCTTGTATGTGTTCTTGTCTGTACTCATTCAAATGTCGAAATGTATACGAATATATTCAAATTATCTATCTAATCTGACAGTTACTTTGAGTAGGAGCTTTTTTCAAGTATGGAAGTACGATTGAAGACTAGATCTAGAATAATTCATTTTAAGCTAGGAGTTCAATTGAACCCGTATTTTTGTAGCGCACACCCGAGTAAAAAAATATTTTTAGCTAACGTTTCAGTAAGCCAACGAATTTTTAGTAGAAATTTCAAGTAGTATGGCGCTGTTTCACAATAGT